GAAGAGCCAGTCGGAGGGTACAGGGGCGCGGAGGAAGATCTCGCGCCCTGGGGCGTGGCCATGTGTGTGCGTGTGTGTGCGTGTGTGTGCGTGTGTGTGCGTGTGGGCAGGGCAGGATGAGGCGGTCAGATGGCGGTGGGCCATTTGTTGCGGGCGCAAAAAATGACGGGTCCCACATACCGGTGTAGCCGGTCATCAGGAAGAAGAAGGTCAGCAGCATGGTCCCCTCGACCGGGCCGTTGATGATCCCCAGCGCCAGGGTGCCGGTGTGGTATGTTTCCCAGGTGACAAGGAAAAAGTAAGATGTCCCGATGAACAGGTAGGCTAGGTGCCACCAGGAGTTCTGGACTCCGGTGACATGGGTAATGATGATGGTGCCAAGCTGCGATGGGGTTGTCATTGTCATTGTTGTTGTTGTTGTTGTTGTTGGTGATGGTGGCAGCGTGGGGATGTCTCGTCGGGGTAAGTGGCCTGTGGAGGTGTGGGCACGCGTGTACGCCGCGCTGTGCCTTGCCGGCAGCAGGACGTACGAAGGTGTTAATCGCGTCGCAGCCATGGTCGAACAGCTCCCCAAGAGGCCCGGAGGTGTTGGTCTTGCGGGCCTGCTTCCCGTCGATGGCATCGAGCGAGGTGTACGCAAACAGGCCAAGACCGAACCTGCCGGCCGCCAAGCAAGGGGGGGGGGGGGCAAGATGATCGATGGTCAGCAGTCGACATGGGGGCGCGAGAGCCATGCCCCAAGGAGGAACACATTCGCATGTGTATGTGCATGTGTGCGCGCGCGACCGAGCGTGACGCACCAGTAGTACATCCACGCGGGGCCGGAGCTCTCCATCTCCAGGCCGGTGAGAGCCCACAAGGTCAAAACATTGGCCACGATGAAGAGTAGCCCGGTGAGAGTCACCAAGTTTGGCCTGGGGTGGATGGGCCGACGCGCATCGACGGCCGGGAGGGGCAAATGGGCAGGAGGCAGGCGGGTGAGCTCGATGCAGCAGCATGCCTTCTGCATGGTGTTCAAGTGGCCACGCACGCGACCCAGCTCGGGACAAACTGAACGAGCCACGTCCAGTACGGCTGGAGGACATACTTCGACAGGAGTGACCGGTCGATGGCATTGTACTTGTAGGCGAGCAGCGCCGGCAGGGCGTCAGCCGGGATCGGCCGGATGGAGGGGAGCCCGAGGGTCATGGTGTCTGGCCAGATCTCTGCCAGAGGGCGGCAGCAGCGGCGGCGGCGGCGGCGGCGGCGGCGGCGGCAGCGAGTGTCAGCGACCAGATGGCGGTGCGGGGCGGGACGCGAGGGAGGCACTCCCCTCCCCCCGTGCTCTCTTGCTCCGTTATCGAAGCACGGACATTTCCCTCTTCCAGGCGCGGAGACTTGCCTGGCGGTTTTGTTGGGCGGGTTTCTTCCCGGTGTGTCGACTCCAGGGGCAGGCAGGCGGAGGCGAGGGGCCGGCGAGAAGGCAAGGCGGGCGGAAGCAGGTGCAAGTGCAGGTGCAAGTGCAGATGCAATCGCAGGCGTGTGGGCGTATGTGCGTGTGTTGGCGGGGGGGGGGGCGCGGCGCACTCAGGCATGCGCTCGCCGGGAGTCCAGCCTGGACGCCGGGGGGAAGACCGTCGATCCGGCCGAGGCCACGGAGCTGGACGAGGCCGAGGCGGCGGCCGCAGCGGCGGCCATGCGCTGCTGCGACCGGCGGTGGTAATTGCCCGAGGGCCGGCGAACGATGCGCAGGCACCCGACCCCGAGGAAATTGCAAATCTGATTGATGACGGCCCACACCATGAAGGCATAGTGCAGGGTGCTGAGGGCGAGCCAGATGTAAAGCCACTGGACGGCCCGGTCATCGGCCTCGGGGGTGCCGCCGAAAAGGCCGAACAGGGCCCCGACGGCCCCGGTGATTGGGATCAGAGACCCGATGTGTGAAAGGATGCCCCCGGGATAGGACTTCGGGCTGCGGGTCAAGTGCGCCAGGATGACCCGGGCCACCAGCTGCGAGAAGTCGAAGCCGAAGGCAAAAGTGAAGGCCAGCATGTGGCGCTTGACCAGGACCCCCTGGAAGACGCCGCCGGTGGCGCCGTAATGCATGAAGACCAGGCTGAAGGCGGTCAGCGAGAAGAAGGGAACCAGGCGCTGGAGGGCCTTGCCGGGGGAGTTGCCGAACTCGCGTGACTGCTTGAGCATGTTGGACACGCTGCGCAGGGGGGGGGGGGGGATGGGGGATGGGCGCGGCCAGGCGCATTCGCATGCATGGCAAGAGGCGGGGGCCAGAGAGCGGAGGTCAGCTCGGAAAGTGGGAAGGGGCACGGCACCCCAGTGGCTAAAGGGAAGGATGGAGGTGGGGGGCAGGCGCGCGTGCGCGCGGAAGGGCCGGGAAACAGCCGGCACATACCCAGAGCACATCATCAGCAGGGAACCGATCATGAAGACCACCGACACGAGCTGGCCGTAGGGCAGGTGTTGGAGGAAGGTCGGGACGAAGGGGAAGAGCCAGTCGGAGGGTACAGGGGCGCGGAGGAAGATCTCGCGCCCTGGGGCGTGGCCATGTGTGTGCGTGTGTGTGCGTGTGTGTGCGTGTG